CTCAGTGTTTTTGTTTGTTTTTATCCCCACACTTTGATTGCTCATATGAATGAAAATCCATTTTTAACCAAATGTCCTCGATAGCATAGATAAACATGATGTCACACCAGGTAGAGCACCCTGTGATCTACAGCCAAACAGGTTGCTAAGGAAGACATTTCACTGCTTTCTCAAAATACCTCTTTCCTGTTTGGATAGGTGTCAAGTGGATACATCCACTTGTGATGAAAAGCGTGACTTGACATGAGTAATGACCTATGTCATAATGTTATTCTTGTGTCGGTGTTTCTGTCTTTGTTGCCTTCTCGCTCCAGTCAAAGTTTTCCCAGAGGCAGCAGCGCATGATAAAGAACCGCGAATCAGCATCCATGTCTCGGAAAAAGAAGAAAGAGTATCTGCTCTCGCTGGAAGCCCGCCTGAAAGTGGCGTTGTCTGAGAATGAGGTGCTCAAGTGTGAGAATGGCAACCTCAAGAGGCAGCTGGAGGGCCTGCTGAGTGAGGTGAGAGACTGGATGTCACAGCTCTGCCAAAACAGCCCGAAACGTTTTTAATTTAACACAATGCCTTTTCTTTTTCCCTGCAGAACACAGTACTAAATGCAACGGCCCCCAAGAGGAGAGCTGTGTGTCTCATGGTACTGTTGGTGTTCCTCGTGCTTAACGTCGGACCAATGAGGTGAGCTTATGACACATAATGTGACCATGGATCTCTCCGTATGTCTTTTAAATGTCCACATCAATTTGATTTAGCATCGAAAATCTTAAATTCATTTTAAAACAAAAGAGCGCCGGTGACGCAGATTCTGCAGTTTCAGAAACAGGAAGATTACTGGTAACTGCAGCATATTGTAGATACACAAGAGTTTCATTGCTGAAGGAAAACAAATGGGAAGCCCCATGACTCATTGTGGCAATTACAGCTCTCATGTAAGACATTACACAAAAACATTTATTGAAAACGGTGCCGAACATTTCCCAATATGTTCACAAAAAAAACAACTTCAGTCTTTTTTTCAGTTGACAAAGTGACATTGTTGACATTAGCCTAAAAATACAATTGAAATGTAAAAAAAAAAACAATTGCCACTTTAGCTAAGACTGGTTCATGTTGGAACACATGCCCATAAATAATGATTGGTCTCTCTTTAAAGCTTTGAGCTAAATCACCTACCATAGTAATCTTGTGATACATCCAGCATAATGTAGTCCGATAACACTCAGACTGGACATTTTATCCTGTGTGAAATGGATCTAGCTGGTGAAGCAACCAACTAGCTGGTGAAGCAACTAACAGTTCATCTCTGCCAAGTGGCTCTTGTGTGTATGTTCCGTTCCTCTGTTGTTATAGGACTAATGGGTGAATACGACTGCAAACACCCTGCTGGGTTGGGAGGAAAGTAAACATTTACCACTTACAAATGTAAAAAGAAAATAATTTCTGGCCACAAAAGAAGTATAAAACACTTGTTTATGTTTACGTTTTTCTGATCTCAGCTTGTAACATTAACAACAGTGACAAATTAAGATGAGTTATGTGAAACTACACTGGGGAAAGAGCTGATTCCACCCAGCTAGCAGATGGAGAGATTGTGTAATTCCACAAACTCAAGCTCACAGTCCAACTCCAACTGTAACGATGAATTCTCTGTTCTCATGTTGTAAAAATGTTTGTTTTCTCCTGGGAATAACTTTCTCCACAAGGATGCGAGCATTCACTTGTCGGACTTGTTGGCTTTGATTATTTGCGTGCGCTCTGTGCTGGGAATGTGTTCTTTCAGTTGTTCTCTGGGGCTTAAACATGAAAAAGGTTCTTTGGAGCCATGAATGAGTTTGCTTTTGCGACTCAAGGGAAATTCACGGTAGCTGAAGTCTGTGTGTGTCTGTACCTGTGCTCACATCTGTGTGTTTTGTGTTTGGGCTCTCCTTTGGAATGCAAAATATGCCCGCTTTTGAGGTCCAATCCCTTTGAAATGAAAATGCCGCCCAGGGTAGTAATACCGTTGAAAGAGACTGTGTGCGTAATTTTGCTTGTGCGGGTGCCCCAGCATGCTTTGGGTTATGCAGTCTAGATCAGAGTTCAGATTCTGCTTGTGGCTTAAAAAATAAAAATCCTCCAGTACCCAGTCCTTCTTTTCTGTTTGTTTGCTTCGTCCTGAGTGTCCTGATTTTACCTCACCTGCCTCTTTTCCTCACCTCACCTGTCCTCTGTTTCATCAGACTGTTTCAGGGTGGCTCCAAGCATGATGCTTTTTCCACTCAGCACAGCGGGAGACACCTGTTGGATTTCTCCCAGAGGCAGAAACTGAGGTCGTGATGGGCCCCGATCCCCACCGTAGTGGCTCCTCTGAGATTGCAGACAGGTAATGAGCTCAACCCCTCCCCCGACACTTTTCACAGCACAAACCGTGTCCCGTGGACCAGGATGCACCTGTGCCTGGGCTCAGTCTGAACTGGTACAGCTCATTATAGCACGTGTAAACATGTGCACCAGCCGGTTACCAACTCTGTCCAAACGTCTGCCTTTCAAATGCTTCCAGGCCCTTGGCTATTTGGCAGCTTTGAGTAACAAGGTGGGAAATTGGGGTCAGGCCTTGTTTGACATCCAGCTTTATATTGCCAGTAACAGTTTATTTTTCTAAAGGGTTATATATTTTTCTTTCTCTTTTCTAAATGCAATCGAGGCCCCGCAGTCTCATTTGTAAATTGCATAAATAACATTCTTGTTTGGTACATTACCTGCACCACCATGTCCTGAAAATGATGTTTTGCAAGGTGGTCAGAGTGTCTAATGTCTGCATGGCATCGCCAGCCTGTGTTATGTCAGATCTCTGCGAAGGGTATGTTACAAGTTAATGCAAACCATTCATCTCTAGTGTCAAGTTTCCCGGCAGCATCAAAGCAGCGCAGGCAGGAAGGAACACATTAGCCTTTACAAAAGGGGTGACACAGCGGAGAGGAGGATGACGGGGGAGATATGCAACCTAATCTTGGGGTCCCACTGAACAGGAAGATGTGTGTGTGCAGGAAGGTTAACACGGGCCCCTCGGTCAGAGTTATGATCAGGCCTCTGTGGTCTGACATGTTGTCTCGCCAAACCGTTTCCAGAACATTTAGAGACGGGAACGCAAGGCGTAGTCGACGTGTTGGCTCAGATCAGGGAGGCCCAGTGGAGTTATTACGTCGGAGGCAGACGTTTTGGTAAGAAGCCTCCTGCAGGTGGGCACTGACTGTGGACAGTCTACATCATCACCTCAAGCCACATAATCATTCACTCACTGAAGTATAACAGTTGTAATTAAAGTCACAGTAATGTCTGAGGAGGAAGGTCAAGCCATGCAGTGCAGTGTGTTTCTAATCCATAATGTGTGGTGTATGGTAACAACCCAGGCTGTTGTTTTCGTCTGTCGTCAATGAGCAGACTGGATGTGACCTACAGGGGGGCGATGCTCAGTTCTCTGTTGCATGTTTCTGAGCAGGATTTAATGCAGCATGTGGATGGATCCTTTCAGAATCTCTGCACTTTTCGTATTTTCGTTCATACATTCAGGGATTGAAGCTCCGCCACCTGTGCACGTTAAGTATCAAACATTTGAAGCAATAGAAGAAATTAGTAACCAATAAAATTCAACAGGGATGTAAATGGCCCCACATTGAAGCAATGCTGGGTTTCCTTTTTTTACCCCCTCACTCAATCCCTCTGGGTGTTTCACCTTCGTCAGAGGGCAAGTGGCCATGTTGGCTCTCACTTTGCATTCAAAGCATATTCTCAACATGTGGAAAACATTTTTAACAGATTGTTATTATGAAACTCTTACATTTATTTGAGAGCATCTGACCAGCCTTGTTAAGTTATCACTTTTGTCTCCTATCACCCTCTGTCTCCTTTTTCTTCTGTGTTGTAGTTCTGAGGATAAGGCCCTGATGGTGGTGAAGGATCCTATCTTCCTCAGACCACCTCCCCCCTGCCAGCCTCCTGTTAACAGGACGAAGTGCTTAGAGTAAGTTATGAACACTTTCATGTATCAATGAAAGCACACAAGCATACTTATTAGCTGATGCCCTTTCTCCTTCCACATGAGACCTGAGAGAATTGACTGAATTTGATTGGCAGGTTGACTCATGAGTTGAGGGGTTGGGTCCACCGTCATGAAGTGCAGCTGACCAAATCCAGGCGAGTGAGTAATAGCAATCACAAGCCCACCAGGACCATTCTGGTAAGTCACAGCAGCATGTTTTGTGAAAAAACAAAACCTGAAAATCTGATGGGCTGTGCAAAAATGTACATGATGGTCCGTGTGTGCAATAAAGCTTCACAAACAAACTAAACTTGACTTGTATTTTAGTCCATTACATTCAGTATAAAGTGGTCTTTGGCAAACCGAAGCCTCTCTTTCACCACTGTTTCACCTCCCCTCACACCATCCCTTTTTCTGCCTCTCATTTCTCTTTATTGGGCTGAGTTTAATCCGGCTGCCCTGAGAAAGTAAACGCAACACTTAGAGGGGGAGCTGTGGGATTAGTGCCCCCTGCTCCTTTTTTTTCCATCATTTGTTCAAAATCTGTCACAGTACCTCTAATCCGCTAGGGCCTATACCCAGTTGGTATATACCCATTTTTCATTTTACTATAAATACAAATGTAGGTGTGTTTATTTCTCACCTGCATTGAGCTATTTTAGACACTCATTCGTCTTTGCAGTATTTACAACATATGGAACTTTACAAGACTGATAATATTAATAAGATGTAAATTTTAAATTGTGTTTCTGTTCATTTGAATGGTTCTACTTGCTCTTGCATGTTTGGCAGATAGTTGTTAGCGTACAATAATATTTTTGAAATGATGGCCCATCACAATGGTTTGAATGGAGCCTGTATTGATGTGTAAAGACAGTGTTTCCAACAGTTTTCATGTAGCATGAACATAAAAGGTTATAGCTAATCGTTTCATTTTTCCTAACAGAAACAGAGAATAAGGAGGCAGAAAGAGCCCAGATTGTGACCGATCCATTACTGAAACTACTGAGGAAAAGTGAGTGAAGGCCTGTTACAACGTGTTTGTGTCAGATTCACACATCTTACATGTCAGTTCTTTTTCTTTTTTTTTAAAGCTGCATAAAGCATTTCTTGACAGCTAGAGAGCAGAACATATTGTAAATACGAGCAACACTAGGTTGTGAACTAAAACAGTGAGCTTTAATCTGTTTACAGCTGCAGACTGGAGTGTTTATTGTCAGCAGGAGCCACAGAAATAGATTATGTAAAGCAACTGTAGACATAACAAACTGGTATGTTTCATTGTTTTATAGTTGTATTTGACCAAAGTGGGTCTGTAAATGGAATTGCAGTGGTAAATAACATTTCTGCTTGTATTTCCACATTTTGGGCATTTGCTCCCTTTCTTGTTGTTGGTTTTTTTTTTTTAACAATTGTACCCATTTATGATACAGGGATTATAAAGCATGACCCTTGTATACGTAGCTGCAGAGGTTTGGCCGTCAGTAAGAACCTTTTCTGCTGGACTGCACCGGGTAGTTCAGATCAGACAGATGGAGTCAATAGTTTTTTGGCCACCTACAGTTTTTTCCCCAGTTATTGTAAGTCTAAGAAGGCTATGAAACGTCCACATATACAGGACAAATCTGTTTCAGCAGTTAACCTCTGCAGGGCGCCGATTGGCCAGAATGAAAATAGAAAATACACAAGAAAAATTCCCTTTTTAAGCAGGATATCTTGTACCCAGGTCCCAGAGGGATTGTGGATTTCCCTTCACAAAGGTTTTTTTTTTTTTTTTGGTTTTCATCCTCATGTTTGTGACCTCTCTGCTGTATACATTAATCTTAGAACCATTGTTTACAGCAGTGGGTTGGGAAACAAAGAGATGTAGACCACGGTAGAGCTGCAACTAATTATTATTATCAATTAATCTGCTGATTTTTCTTGATTAATGTTTTGGTTACATAACAGAATATAGCGAAAAATGCAAGGTGATGTCATTAAATGTTTTTTTTTTTGTATGACCAACAGTCCAAAACCCAAAGAGCATCAGTTTATTATAATGTAAAACAAGGGAAAGCAGCCAAGTCTCATATTCGAGAACCTGGAACCAATTAAATTTGGGCATTTTTGCTTGAAAACTGACTTAGACGGTGAATTTATTAAATTGTTGCAAATTACATTTCTGTTGATTGATTAACAAATTAATTGACTAATAGTTGAAGTACTAGATGACTGTAACATGTTGTTTTTGATGATTCTGATGATCTTGTTCTAACACCAAAGAATAAAGCATTGTGTCTGGATTGAAGTGAAATGGACAGACATATCGAATAAGATCAGTGTTTAATAAAAATCAGATTTTAAAACTATTAAATAATTTTATCTACATGAAATTTGCCAAATATAATATTTTTTTCTGGCAAAAAACTGTGATTATCAGCATTTGATCAGTAGAAAATGTGAAACACCCAAATTGATTGAATCCCAGCTTCTGAATATTGAAAATATTTTTCAGCATTCCTCATATTTTTCTGCAATCCTGTTATTCTTCATCAACAGGAATCCTGGCAATGAGCTGCAGATATACTATGCACCTCATAACACCTACAGTGACTTTTTCGATGAGATCAATCGCCGTGGCGACACTTTCTACGTAGTGTCTTTCCGCAGGGTAAGTTTCAGCTTGTCTGGTCCATTACACTGACTTGAGAAGAGAATCTGGCGCTGGCTTCCAGGCAAAATCTGACACGGTCATGAAATTGATCACATAAACTAAAATTAGAAGAGATTTCAATGGACGCTTTCACTGCTAACACTAATCACATGTCTGTGGTGATATTTCCTTCTCCCAAACTGGTCTTAAAAAGCGCCAAATTAATTTATGAATCATAAATGATCATTTGATTTGGGAGGGGAGGGTCGGGAAGGTGGTGAAATACTCACACCCAAGGGTGTAACTACCCCTCTCCAGTCCAGTTTCCTTGGTCCATTTGCAATCATCAAGACCATGTTTTAGATTTTTAGGCATGACCAAATGTCACTGTTAATCTGCATGGTCTTTATTCGTTTGACAATTTTTCCACATTTGGGAATCTGAATCTGGTTTTAATTTCCCCTCTTGATATGATTATTCCTGGACATATTCAGAAAGAGTTATTTGATTAGTTTGGTTTAGTTTCTTGGATTGCTGTCCTTTTGTTTTCAAAAATATTTTTATTTAGACCCAACCGTACATATTTTTGCTCTTGAGTACTAACCAAACAATAAGAAAACACATTATTCTTTAAGTTCTACCCATTATAGTTTGTATTTTATCATTATGGGAAGTTCCTGTTCTATCTGTGTTCACTGAACTACGCCAAATAACACACATTTACTTCAACAATTGACCAAAAACTAACAAAAGAAAGTAAGAAATTATAGATTTAACAGCCTTGCAAACGTGAATGACCTGCTGCAGTCCTCTGAAATGAAACTGTGTTTCTTCATCACTGTTCCAAAGAGCTGGGCCAAGCTCGTAGGTGATGTTAAGCCCTTAAATCCTCAGGATTACTCAGTGGGGTGGGAGTTTTGAAGCATGTGGTCAAGGATCAAGACCTCTTGTCACCAAGCAAGTCACAAAGGTTTGCCTCTGAGTTGGCATGGTGACAGCAGGGACAATGGTAACAATGGTGTACCCCTAGTTGAGGGCCTCTACAGGTCAAGTAGCCGTCCTTCAATTCCAGCTGCTTTGTGTTGCATGAGCAGCGAGGCTGTTATTGTTTATCCAAACTTTGTATCATAGAATTAAACAAATCATCTTTACAGGGGTAAATAAATTCCCTAATATTTTAACCTTAATCAAACAGTTGAACAGAATAATATATAGTGACTCATGAAGTTTGATTCTTTAATGACCTGATGACAAAAGATGCTTTTGTAATGAATCACCCAGATATTGACTCTTTCAGTGTAATTCTAAAACATGTTGAAAAATGGCTAATGGTCACACTTAGCATGACAGGGAGAGCATAAAAACACCAGAGCTTAAAATGAAATTCAACCTTTAGTTTATCTGAATAATAACCTTTTTTTGTTTAATCAAAAATTATTCATGTCACAATTGAAAACACTAACAACTTTTAAACTATTTGAAAGCCTTGATTACTTTGATGTTGCGCTGCAACTAATGACAATTTCTCTATTAATTGATTGGTATTAACTGTTGGTAAGAATAGTATATAATAGTGGAAAAAGATATTTAGTTTAGATCACTTAAGACAAAGAAACACAGAAAATCTTCATTTCATCTTAATTTTACTCATTTCACACCAAAGGAAAATATCATAAGTCCTGTTTCCTTTTACTACATGCCTGCTGTTTTTGATGTGAATTTTTTAATGTGTCAAGTGCTGACGTGGATTTTAATATGCAGGGGCAGTTTCAGTAATCAAATGCATTATTTGGTATGTCAGAAACACTTTTAAGGAGCACTCAATAGAGAAAAACAGAACACAGATCGCAGGCCTGTTATTCAATGTGACCTTTTTAACTCTTACAGACCTTTGTCAACTTTTCTCAGTCAGTTTTGCCTGTATTTTGTTTCCTGGGTTTCAGGGTTTTTTGTGTGTGTGTCGGCAAAAGCGGGTGCTTTTGTTTTTTTTTCCAGTCGGTATGATCTTATTACAAGACTGCCAAAGCTCTGGATTAAATTTGGAATTTGTTTAGATTTTAAAGCCAATCACTACCAATTTTCACTTTTGTCCCTCTAGGCAAAATATTTTCATCATGGCCTGTTCTTGCCCTCGCCAGCAGTTGAGGTCATTCACTACACTATGTAGCTCACTCAGAGGCCATGCTTAGGGTCAAGTTTACTTTAAGCCCCTCAACAGATACATGACCACCTGTGGCTTTGTTTAAGTGTGAAATGAGGTGAGGTGATGGAAAACATACACACGACCACAATATTCAAAAAGTCATTTTGCGGTCTTGCTTCACTTCTTGTGTTGTTTTAGCACCTGTTGCTTTATGTAAGTGTGCATTGGGGTGAGGTGGTGGAAACCTGGCTGCTTTCACTGTGGACTTTATCCAATAAGGTTCAAGGAAAATTCACCTGTTGTCATGGTAGCTGGAGCTGGTTATGTCAGCTTGAAAAGCTCACGCCGTCCCTTTGTAATGAGCGAAATGTGATTGGTGTTTTTCTACCTCTTACCACCCTTCAGACACAGTCAGGCCAACCTCTCATTAATTTTTAGCATTTTAT